CCCCAAAACCCCAAAACCCCAAAACCCCAAAACCCCAAATCAAGATTTGGTTAGTTTAAATAATTAATGGAATCAAGTTCAGATTTGCCAACATGGGACGGAAAAATTCTGTCCTTAACAGCAGTTAGCCCTATCAACATTGCTCTGATCAAGTATTGGGGGAAATGTGACGAAATTGAGATCATCCCCATTAACTCTTCACTCTCGATCACCCTCAACTGAGATGATTTATGCAGTACAACCACTGTCTCACTTGGTGAGAGCTACGAGGAGAGTGAACTTATTCTCAATGGGAAGTCAGAAGGGTTCAGTGATAGGATCAAGAGGATGCTTAGCTTCCTCACAGACTCTATCCCAGCAGAAGGAGCAAAGGCATGGGATACAGTCAAAGGAGAAGAAATCACAATTCCTAAGGAAGATCTACTAAAGATGAAGGTCCACGTAGAGTCTACTAACAACTTCCCAACAGCTAGTGGGGTTGCATCCAGCTCTTCAGGGCTTTCTTGTCTTGCTCTGTGTCTCAACAAAGTTTATGGATGCGAAATGGATTTAGGAGAGTGCTCTAGGCTAGCTCGTCTTGGGTCAGGCAGTGCTTGTAGAAGTCTCTTTGGAGGGTTTGTCATCTGGGATAAAGGATTTGATCTCACTAACTTTGAAGATATCAGAAATATCACACCAGAGCAGGTTCTCGAAGCTAGTAAAAACTCTAAAGCAATTCAGGTTAAGGACGAGTCTCACTGGGATGAGATTGCCCTTGTTATTTGAGTAGCTACTTCTGAGAAAAAGAAAATTGCGTCAACAAAGGGAATGAAAGATTCAGTTGATACTTCTGAATTCCTTGCATACAGAGCTACAAACATTGTTCCAAAGAGATTAGAGAATATTACCAAAGCCATCGAGGATAAGGACTGGAATACCTTTACTGAGATCATCATCAAGGAGAGTAACTCCCTGCATGCATCTTGCTTAGATACATATCCACCAATTTTCTACATGAATGAGACGACAAAGAACCTTGCCTCCTTGACTCATGACATAAACCAGAACTTTTATGAACCAGTTGCGGCTTATACCGTAGATGCAGGAGCAAATTGCTTCCTCATTACCAAAAAGAAGCATCTGAACTACCTCATCGACCTTGTCAGTGATGTTGCTGGTCTTGATGACTCAAAAATAAAGTTCAATTTCAAAGACGAAATCGAGACAGAGCACAATCAAATCGACGGGGATCTAATCAGCAAAACTCTTGACCCATACAGAGGCAAGATCGAGCTTCAACAGTTGATAGTCACGAGGGTGGGAAAAGGATGTCATTTCGTTGCCCAATAAGCCATGAATGGTTATAAACATGCTAAACTCACCTTTCAATCTGAGATTCATGAATTGGGGTTTTGGGGTTTTGGGGTTTTGGGGTTTTGGGGTTTTGGGG